TGCTTCTCCCGTTCCGTCATTCCGGTGGCCTGGTCCACCTTACTTTGGCCCAAACCCATGGTGGGTACAAGCTCGACCGGACGTCAAACGAACAGCCCACCCGAGCACCGAACACAGAGTGGCTGGGGGTGATGACGTTGGTGATGATGATATCCTCTTCGTGATGGCGCTCACCCACAAATGAAGATGGACAAAAAACCAGATGGCAGAATATTTTAAACAAAAGCCAGAGACAGAAGGAAAATAACTTCTGTAGAATACGGACTTGTGAAGCTAAATAATCACTAAAAATGTAGACTAAAAACAAAACACCGCACAAAAAAATATGCTATACGGCCGAGGGATCAGGTGATCATATCAAATTTTTTACAGCGGTAATTACAAATTTGGAACCAAGAATATGGTGAAGCAAAACTATGCACTTTGAATTGGGGTCACTTTAGGGATCCAGTTTTTTGTTCATCTCTACAGCTCACTTGGCGAGACCACGCCCGAGGTTAGGTTCAAGTTAATGAAAAATCTCTAAAACAGTACTAATTACAGCAAAAAAAACTTGGAAACATTCGCAATATTCAACTAAAAATTGCTAAAACCATTTAACGTTCTGCAGCTGGATGCTGGACCGTGCTAGAGAGGGCATGACCACCACGCCGAGTGAGCGAATGCCCCTCCCATTACGCATCTCTGGCGTCTTCGTCGCTACAATGGTAGGAGGAAAGAACGTGCTGGAACTCTCTGTTGGTCATACGTTTGTCAACTGCCGTAGCCAGCAGGAAGTCCATAAAGCACGGAAAAAAAAGTAGCGCCCATGTCACACACGCAATTCGCGAAACTTCTGAACGAGATTCCACTTACTAGGGAAGCAGTACATGCATGACTACCTGAAACATTCACGTCATCGACGCTTTAGTAAACAGAGTGGTGGGAACTCTACGAACGAAGATTACTTCCTCAGGCTTCAAAGCAGTGGAGGTATCATGTATTGTTGTTGTTGTGGCTTGTTTTCGTTTGTGCAATATAGCACAGCAAAGCAGACTACCCTTGTCGTTATATCCGAATGTAGTGCTGCGAAATCACGAAGTTACTGCAACATACATGGCTAATCCTATCTCCTGATGATAATGATGGTGAAAATGACGGACCTAAATTCATGACGCTAAACTCAATCTTTGAAGCAATTGCCACTTTTAAGAATGCAAGATGTTGTTTTTGCCACGCTTTCTAGTAAGAGATTTACAGTATTGAAACAACAGTATTTCTATTGACATTTCTCTTATACATTGACATAATAAATAACTTTTGTCCGCTGCCCGAACGCAGTAGAAGCTCAGGTAAAGGTGAAAGCTTCAAGCGGTGGTTAACAGAGGTGTTACTAGAGCCAACGTCCTGAAAAGCACAGTTCTTCAATGATACTTTTTGCGAAACTTCGTTCTGAATCCCAGACATGCCCGTGGCTGATTCTCCGAGGGCCAGCAGTTGTTTCGGCCATTTGGAACTAGCAGTGAAAAACACTGTAAAACACCACCCCCCGCTAGTGCCTTTTGCAAGCTGTTAAAGTCCGCACGCAGCGGTGGTGTCGTCGCGAAAGTTACTAAGTTTGTTTCATTGTCTACAAATTACGTGACAATCCACACATTTCCTTGATTTCGGCCAATGGCGTGTCCAGATTTTGATACGGCAGGCCTAAGGGGAGTTTCATACCTCTCGACAAAGGGTGGTCTTCTTCAAGGCTGAAACTCTTGGCACACAAAGTGTCACTCTACTGGCCTGGTGATTTAGTAACAGAATGAAATATTTAAGCAAGTTATTTTAGAAAAGATGTTTATTATTTCGTCAATGTAATAAAAGCAATTACTCACTAACAGCATCGCTATTAAACATAAAAATGCCACGAAATTGAAGCTATTTGCTTTTAAGAGTTACTTTCGATACATATTATGTCAAGTTCACTTACAAACGTAAATTAACTTGCTGGATAACTAATAGAAATCATTAGAATGAAATTGTTGAAAGTGTGGACATTTTCATGCGTTAGCAGCTGAGATCTTCGTGGCATCTGGCGGAGCAAATCACAACCACGCAATTCTTTCTCCACGGCCTCCGTGATCCTCTTCGGCAGCGCAGCGAAGCATCATGTCGACGCGAGGAATGCGCTGGGGTGCATAAACGTTAACGTGCGATTGCTACTCCCCCACAAATAAATGAAAGATTCAAATCACCTCCAGATTTTTTTGTAGTGAGAGCTGCAGTGGGTGTATTATCGTCGTTTTGATCTGGCCTGTGGCCGAACTGAGAGCTGAGCCGTTTCCTAGCAATCACCGCAGCTGGAAGCGCCACTCGCCGCACTACCAGGCGTGACGTTACAGGAAGATCTGGTGAAACAATGCTTCAACGACAGATAAGGAGCCAGCGTTGCATCGTATATATAAAAGGGGCGGCTCGGTGGTATGTGTCGGTATTGATGAAGTGCGAGTAGAGATAAACACGACGGGATCAGGCTTCGTCGTCGGAACACGAAGAGCAGGCAGCGGCGAGGCGAGGAGATAAAGGAGGAAAAGGAGGAAGTAACTTTCTTCAGAAAAAAAAAAGAAATGATAAAATTTACCTTATAACCGGCCAATTCCCTACATTGGGTACGATTCGTGTACAGAGGAAAACAACAGCAACAGCTACAGGCACTTGTGGTCAGGCCCTCAGTCTAGGGCTCCCCTGGCATGAGCGGCTCGCTGGGCCTGGTCAAGCAAAGCTGTTTCGTGCTGCTTCGACTCGTCGGCAAGCCATACCTCCCACTGTCTGTGTAATATGTGCGAATGGTTTATTAACGTTCGGGTTGTCAATGTGTGTCGGCCTCTTGGTGTACTCCATTGTTATGTGGCTGAGTGTTTGTGTGTCTGAATACCAAAGTCGTCTTTAAATTTTGTGGGAAACATTTTACTTTGGTGTTACAGGCTTGGAAAGCTATTGGTTTGTATACATCTCCAAACCCTGCTTTGTTGGCTATCGAAGTCTGTATGTGAAAGGCCATACTCTTTTCGTTGCTCCATTTGTTGGAGAAGGATGCCACGTAGACTAGAAAAGGGTTCAACGTCTGTGCCTGCCGTCGCTCGGTTGGTGAAGCCTCGAGCTATACGGTCTGCCCTGACGTTCCCTTTCAGGTCTTCGAGAGCAATACACCATATCATGTGATGATCTCCTTTTTAAATAAACCCATAAGAGAAGGCGGGGGAAGAACGAGCCGCACGCCTCGATAAGCGTAGCCAAAGAGGGAACCAAGCTAAACAAATAAGCGAATAGCATGAGCATTTGGAGGAGTTGGCCGTTTGTCGTCAAAAAAAATTTAAACCATGCGGGAATAAACACGAACGCACACAATTGCGCAATGTCCGTGCCAGCTTTTCTTTGTGCATTCGTGTTTACTCCCGTGCTCTTGAAATTTCCTTGACAATAAAGAATAAGATTAACTGTACCTCTCTCTACGCAGTACCAGACATAGCTCAGTGAGACCACCATCAATGTTTCTTTCTTTCGGGTCTACTGAGCAGTGGAAACGCGGGTCTCACCGCGATCAAAGGAAAACATAATGCGCACGATCAACGGTGGGGAAACACCTCAGTATATTATCAATAGTATATTAGACCAGATTTGAAGCTCAAGAACTGGGGTTCAAGCTCCGAATGAAGCAATAGGAATAGTGAAGAGAGAATTAATGTTCTTGCATGATGGTCAATTGTAAATGAGATTAGAAATGGGACTTGTCTTGAAGCTCTAAAACTGGGGTTGAAGCTCCAAAACATAGACACTAAGGGTGACGCTCTGAATGAATAAATGGGAATAGTTGGGATAGAGCATATCCTCGGGCGTGTTCATAATTCCTTTCAGCTTTCAGTGCACAAACTAACAAGGACGCGAAAAGTGGAGCCCTGTGTCAGCATCTCCATTCTTACTTGTTAATTTGCGTGCAAAAAAATTGATACAGGTAGAGTCAAGTTAATTTAGCGAATTGGACTTCCAAATATGCTCCTCGACATAGAAAAATGATAATGTGCCGAAAAGGAGAGCTAAATTATGTCCCCTTCTTACTAAAAATGGAAGCAAGACAATGAGCTTCAAATAACTGCCCCTCAGCCCGTGTAATAATTTGATGGAGGTATCTCAAAGCAATAATTTGGCGATGAATACGTCATTTTTTTGTGGGATGACTCATTCATCATGTTAGGAATGTATAACAATTATCAGCACCAATTTCGTCCTCCTCTTTGATGGTTTTATGATAAGTTGAAGTTCTATATGAGTGATATTGTTGAGAACTAACATACAATAATGACAAAAAGCATAGGCGACGTTATTAGATGTAATTCTAACGTGAGTGGAACGAACTACATTACACAGTTACATCTCCACTATTCTAATACGTATACTGTCAATAACGTCTCCTATGCTTTCCGTGGCATTACTGTCTTTCAATTCTCGTTATGTTGTCTCTAACAAAGAAAATGGTTTCTTAGTTACATTTTCCTTGATGTAGGATAAATAATATTAAATTTTCTCCTAGCGAAATGGCTACGTCTTAGCAGTTAAAGGAACCTGAGACACAGCCAAGCGCGAAAACAAAAACAATGAAAGAAGAGAGGGACGCGTCGAAAGAACTGCGCCGACTGCTTTGGAATGTGCTGCAGCGTTAGCGGGGTGACGTCTCGCCGCGAGCTTGATGGAATTCCATCGCTCTATAGCAGAGAGCAAAAGGCCAAAGGAGTAACGTTTGATATCAAAAGTCATCGGCCCAGCCAGCCGGGCAGTCTTCGCAAGGAAACAATGCTACGACGCCCACACGCATGCCCCATACATCAATCCAGTGCCACGAGCCGCAATCGGCGCAGCTGTTCCGTTGACGTACCAGCAGGCCCGGTCTCCCGCCTTCCTTCGCGCATAGTTTAGCTTCGAGGGAGGTGAAGACCACGCAAAGCTTTCGCGGTTCGCAAGACCTCAAGCGGCATCTCTGAGCGCGTGCGCCGTGCCCGTGTCTACGCTGCCGCTCGCCGAAAGCAACAGCTTAGTTTGCATCGGGTGAACTTATCGTGGAGGCGCCTGCTCTTCCTTCAACACTCGCCAAAGGCCGCGCCCTGCTAGAGGCTCGCTCCCGGTCTCCTTCGGTTTATGCGGATAGGACTTATCGCGTTGCCGTTAACGGGCTTTGCTTCTGTTGTCTCGCCGAGGCAGTTTTTTGCAGACAGCAAGGGCGACATCGGCACGATGATTAGATACCATCGGAACGTCGTCGTTTCCTCTGCCACGCCTTCTTCTACGTCACCTTATCAGAGTGCCGAACGATTGCTGTGTGAATCCGCTCGGCGCGTAATCTCGGTCATCGGTGTTGCGGAGGAGGTAAGGTACTGGACTCCAACCGCCTTTTGAAAAACATGGATTGACCTCGTTCAGCCAAGTGCTTGCTCTGCTGCAGTGGTCCTCGAATCGAAGTTACAGGCAGGTTTCCATCGCCTTTTCACTTCATTCGAGTGATAAGGAGTGACAGTTCAAGAGTGCCCGACCATTTGGGAATACGAGAAGGCGACACTAATGAAGGCGTTGCTGTGGGACCAGATAGCTTATCAGTAAGTCGTTCGCCTTTTAGGATAGAGTAGCTGACTGACCCAACCGGGAAGACAATCGGCCACTTATCACTGCACAGATAGGCGTAGTCGATAAGGGCGCTTCCTCAAATCGCTGGCCCAGCCAAAGTGGCGTTGAGGTCCACATGAACGCCGCAGCTGCAGAGATGGGTCCTCGCAGCTCGTACACGTTGGTGGGCTACTCTCGCGACCTGGACTGGAGACCGACGAGGTTCGTGGGTCCCGTGCCTTCGGTGCGGGTGTGCAGCCTGTGTGGCCTCATACCTGACGCGACGGTGCAACTGCCCTGCGCTCACGTGCTGTGCCGCCTGTGTTTCGACGGCTCGCTCCGGCAAGGGGGCGTTTGCCCGCTCGACGGCCAAGGCTTCGCGCGCGAAGACGCAGAGTGGATAACGCTGTCCCTGGAGAGCTTTATGAGGAGGAAGGTGAGGCATGGAAATTGGTTTTCTTCGCGTTGGTCACTCTTGCAGCTGTGTTTGACAGGGATGATGTTTTGGAGAGGAAAAATGCGAGAGGTTGCCACCGATGCAGCCTGATCTTGTACTTGAATTCTGATCGCGTGGCTCCACAGGGACAACGGAAGCCCGAGAAAAGTGCGCTCGCATTTCGACTATTATAAATCACCAACCCGCTTAATCAGTTATTTTTTATGCTAAACGTTCGGCATTATAAAGGGCGGTAAGTAAGGGTACACAAAAAAGGATAGGTGCAAAATTATATAACATTGCAGTGCCTAGTTTTTTTCTCTAGCTCTGTTGCTCTATGACTGAAGTTTCGTTCACAAGTCTATATTCACACCCATCAGCAAGTGCTTACAAGAGGCTAACGCCCTAACAAAAGCGAATTTCTTTTCTTTCAGTGCATGATATTTCTAATCTAGCTGGTGACTGTGTGAGTAGGAATACCAACTACCAGCTATAATTACTACAGCCTCCGAATAGCATGTATTATCAGCATCCTACAGAACTGCTGTTTGGCCTACAACTCAACAGTACACTATACGTATGTCTCGCTCTCCCTCTTTCTATCTCTCTGTCGTGTGTGTGTGTGTGGGGGGGGGGGGGGGGGTTCGCTTAAGTAGATTGATGGACAGGCATGACAACTGTCGACAGTACACATTTTGATGGACAGTGCTACGGAGACAGAGTGGCGCAAGAAGACAGCAGAGCTTTGTGCGTCACTGCGCTGTCACTTCTATTTTCGTATCTATCAAAGCTTGTAACGTTCTTTACACAAGCCAAACTCGAATCATTTCACGTAAATAGGCTTTGATTGTACGCGAGTTGGGCCATTATGAAACTGCTTTGACTTACCCGGCTGGTCAACGGGGAACCAATGTGATAAAAAAATTCAGCCATCTTTAGCTTACTTCGAGTTGAGCCCTCAAATTGTCTTTGTAGTTCACTGTTCATTCATAGGAAATGTTCATGAGTGGCGAAAAAAAAAAGAAGAGCACTGACCATTTGAAACGTAGACAGGGGAATGGAAAATTGTGCAAATAAACGCACATACCTGGATTATGCAGCGTAGCAGTCTCTATCCAGGCCTAACAAATTTAGACCCTTTTTTTTTTCTCTTGACCACTAGTTATTTCGAGTTGATAAAACGCCATCCAAGATTTCTCGGTCACTAACGACTTCAGAGCATCCTGTCATTTAATGGTTGTTCTATGCGACCTACGAGAATTCACTTAATGTAACGACAACATACTCTTTATGAACTTTACCTAGCTCCACAAATTATTTTACAAATCAACTGACTTGGGGTTTGCCACTTTTATGAAAGTTCGAGTTAAAAAATGTAAGAAACATATCAAAGATTTACGAAGGCGAAACTGTCTTCACAGCTAAAGATTCGCGATTAATTTCCTGTCTCAATGCAGGCCCAGAAATTCAAAGCTGTTTTATTTATGCTTTAATGACACTTCACTATGTAGCAGTTCATAGCATTGTTTGTAATTGTACCCCAGACTAAGCTGTAGTTCGAGCAACCAGAAACTTCGGGGTGAATTTTAAGGGTATAATACAAGATGATAATGTGAAATTTCAACGTATTGCCCGTCGCTTTAGGCTCACTCGCACGCTTTATACTAAAAGTTTTTCTTCAACGCCCCCCCCCCTAAAAAACAGAAAAAAAAACAGAATTTGATGAATTTCTAAACCATAGAATATACTTCAAAAGGAGCGGGGGGGTGGGGCTCTTTGGCCAACTTTTCTACCATCTCAACGGAGGTGCAAGTAGAGGCCATTGTAGCGCACGTTAAAGAACACCAGATGGTCAAAATTTCAGGAGCCTTCCGCTACGGCGTCTCTCATAACCACATCAAGGTTTCGAGACGCAGAACCCAAGATTCTACGTTCATGCCTGTGACTGCAGACTTTGTATCATAGCAGTCACTGTATGATGACATAAAGTAGAGATCACGCATCTGATTGTTGAAGCCGAACTTCAACAACGATGACTTGTGTCTTAGCAAGGCATTGAAAGCATTGTCATCTGAGAAGTTTAGGTTATTGCTCAAGCGCTAGTTTACGATGCCATCCTTGTCGTGACTTCTCTTAAGTCTATACTTCGCGCATGCACGAATAGACTGCACGTGTTGAACATGTCTATCTTACTCTTCACAACAAACGTTATTGCTAGCAGTGCATTGTGGGGTCCTTTTGTGCCTTCTCGTGTCTGTGCGTCTTTCTGCGCTACACTAAACTTCGTTCAAATTTATTTCTTTTTTAACGAAACCGAAGCTTTAACAAAACCGAACATAAAACTTGAAAAAAACTGTGCAAATACAGCACGAATTAAGGTGGCGGGAGGACGGCACCGATTGCCAACTCAAAATTTTATTGACGATGTCAAGACTATGTACATACACAAAAAATAAAAATGAAGTTGAAATTTTTCGTCCTGTAGGTGACGCCAATAGTTGTTTTTTTTTCAAACAGATTAAGCAACGGAATGTTTACACATCGCCCGTTTGGTGAATGGCAAAGGTTTCGAATGTCTCCGGCGCGGCTTTGGCAATAGCAGTCGGTGCCCACCCGCACGTCATTTTTGTTCATCTTATTTTTGTGCTTTTTTCTTTCAAGTCTAAGTTATGTACCAGCTCGCCCGCATCTCTGGCACAATGGATATTGATTAGGAGCATCGCGCTCGATTCGGCTTCGTTTCGATTTAAAACAATTGAAATTCAATTTGGCATCCATACGGTATTTCTGGGACCCGCAGGTACGATGCTGGAACGACGTGAACGGATGCGACGAAGTCGTCCAGGTGTCCAAGGTTGCCGACCACTTCAGCAACGAATGCGCCTTCCACGCCGCCTCGTGCCCAAAGTGCGGCGCCACGGTTCTTCACAGGGACATCGTGGAACACCTGAAGTCCGGGTGTCGCACGGCCGTCGTGCCGGGCTCGGCTGTTCCTGCCACGAGCGACGCCCAGAGCCAGTGCGGTGAAATCCCGGAACACGCCCTCAAGCCCGCGCGTTTGTCAGCCGTCACGCCGGGTCCTGTTACGATGAGAGACGCTGGGAGTCAGTGCGATGAAGTCCTGGAGGAACGCGGTACGGGACGCTCTTCAGCCGCCGTGCGGGTCGCCACTATTGCGGCTACGAGGGAAGCCCAAACCCAGTGTAGCGAGTGTGACGTCAACGTACAGGCCGAAGATGACTTGAAGGAAGCCAACGCGGCGTTGGCGCTCGCGTCTGCGCAGAAGGAATCTCTCGAAGCAGACCTCAAGGAGCTCAAAGAACTGTTCGCCCAGAGCTTCGCCGTTCTTACGGCTATGGAGAAAATCTCGCCGGACGCCCGTAATGAAAGTGCGGAGATTCCTGGAAAGAGACATTCTTTGAAGCATCGAGAGGGTAATGTCAGGTATTCGATTATCCTCAGTAATAGTGTGCAGTGCTTTCGGCTGCTCTTTACTACGTGGGAAGCATTCAGTGCACCGTAACTGCAGTTGTACTACGTGTACGTATATATAATGCTAATGCGGAGACACAAATACTGATATTGCAATGCCTGTCCACTAGTGTGTTCATTTGAACCTAGAGTGCTGACAAGCTAATGGCAGTATCATTATTATCAGCCTGATTATGCCCACCACAGGACAAGACTCTCCCCTGTTCCGCCAGTCAACATGGGGGAGGACAACAGGTTAATGTATGAAGTTTCAGCCACTGAGCCTACCTCAGCGTCCATTAAAAATGTGGGACGTACGATTGGCTTCTTCTACATGAACAAATAACTCAAACTTGAAATTAAATACGAGGATGCAGTAACGTGAAAGCCATTAAAATCGTGATAAAGCTCAGATTTCACAGTGGTGAAAAAACCTCCGGTTTTACTGGCAAAAAAAATGTAAGGTGCTCTTTATTTTTGCATTTAATGTACGTCGACTCCCAATTAGAAGATACCCTTTGTGATCCTGTTGTGCCTCACCGCGGGTTGTCAAATTTCAGTTTGCACCATGGCTTGTGTATGAAGTGTATGTTTTTCACCTAGACACCTTCTACATCTAGGTCCATGTAAGCTGGCTGTTGCAGCCGTATGGCGCAAAAAGCACCCTAAGCTATTGGAGATATCTGCGGAAAACCAAATGGCCAGGTAACATAGAAGTGTGGCAGCTTGGGCTAGTTGGTATGGCATGACGATAGTTATAGCGCGAGAACAAAACGACGACACAGACACGTGTCTTCATGCCCTTCTTGTCTCTGTGTCGTCGTTTTGTTCTCACGCTATAACTATGGTCAGGCCAGGTAACAGTAGTGTTAGTCATGTAGAATGTCACTGACAACACTCCAAACCAAATGACGTTTTGAGATCCATGACAATGGCTGCTCCGGCTAGGCTATAGGTTCTCGAATTTCGCATCGTATGCCTAATGCTGAATTTGTTGCCTAGCCACATGTACAGATCTCGAAAGATTTCGTTTGGAGGGCAGTCAATAACCTTCATTTCCTTTAGGGTTTAGTGAGTAGAAGCTAAGGAGAGTATAGAAGCTTGAAGAGATTGGAAATCCGTGAAGACAAGGGGTCCTTGAAGCTAACGTTTCGTGTTGGGTCCTGTCTTCTTCAAGGTAGCAGAAGTTCAATGCAGTTTTTTTTTATTGAAGAAGGAATGACCAATTGTTGAAGCGTTGGCTTTAGCGATGCCCATGTTCGACGGTTTCTTTTAGACCTTAATGGGTAGCGATGTCAGACGCATGCGTTTGTCGGCGCAACCAGAATACATGCTTCGTTGAACAATAGCTTAGATGAACAAAAGTGACCTAACTTGACATATACGATGTCTCCTATTCAAGCATTCAGTGCTGCAGAAAGGGGATGGTGTTAGCACTTCTCCCTTGCTTCCGTTTTACGCATGCATATATACACGCACACACACAAACGAACTCACGAACATACGTAAGGTATGGTTGAAGCCATACAGTTTCCTAAAATTAACTATAGGAGACTCTGGCACGGCGATCGTTCAGCGGCCATGGGAATGTTGGGTGGTACACACATTTGCCTAGTCTTCGTACTTGCAGGCGACGAATCGTACTTGCGGCTTCGTTTATTGCTCTGTTTCAGTTGTGTTTTGAAAGAAAGATTCGACCCTTTTGAATTGTGTGACCCGATTTGAAAAGGTAAGTCTAAAAAAGTAAGATGGTGAAGCGCAACCGCTGAACATTTACTAATTTTTGTTTCGTGAGGAAACAGCTCCAAGCCACACGAACACACACAGAGCCAAAAGCAGTCCAGAAGTACGAAGGTTAGACAAATGTGTGTACTACCCATCATTTCCATGCTCGCTGAAGCGCCGTGCGTTGCAGCTCCCATAGACGCTAGCGCCAGAGTTCCCTCTAGTAAATATTAGGAAACTCTATGGTTGAAGCCTTCTCTGAGAAACATTTCTGGCTACGCTCCTGCAAGCATTTTTGCGTATTCGCGGTGTTTCGTTCCGTAAGGATCCACCACTACGACGTTAGTGTGAGAGGGTTGACTGTGTTTGCTCCGGGTCACTCATGCGAGCTCTTGCGAATACGTCGTGGCATATGCGAGTGTCTCAGCTGTACAGGGGCTTGCATAACTCGGTTAGCGGATGAGGAAAGTCGTCATTGCTGAAATAATCTAGATCGTTCACCTCTCCCACATGGCGACTTTTTCATCATGCCGTATGCACTACATGACAATGATTGCATGTACACTGGTGTGTCTATACACCAAATACACAAGCGCACAGGTTTAAGCGACGTGTGGTGTACCGCACTACATGGTGGACAGAGTCGCTCAGGCGGAGCAATCGGTCGATAGCGAAACGGCGCGTTGTTTGCTACGGTACTTCCGGTTCGAGGCCGATCCCTTCGCTGATTCAAGTTGCCTGCTGCACAGTGTAATTAGGGTGGAAACACGTGCGATTCTGAGACGCTTTTGCTGCCGCTTGTTCAATGATTGTGTACTTTAATTCTTTTTTTTGTGTGTGTGTGAATGGATAGATGATATTTCGTGCATTTCAGGGAACGAAGCGAGACGTGGACATGGGCGAAAACGAGGAACCTTGAGAGATGGGTTTTGAGCCCAGCGTGTGGTTATGCTTTGAAACACGCAGTAGTCTTTTGCAGAATCGCCTCGATTCAGTATTTTCGAGCGCATACACCTACCGAGACCACGTCGAAATCACTCGAGTATATGCTCAAATGCTGTCATATGTTAATATACGTACGATGTCTACATGTGTACGCGTAATTGGAGCCATCAAGTATGCCGATATATTATACTTCTGTTGTATAATCTGCATCGCTAACTGCCTGGAAATTTATTGCAATCGGTGAGTGCGTAAAAAGCCCACAGAACAATACGGCCGCTCAAATAATGATATCGTGCGACGTAAAACGATTGAAGTTGCTTTTGAGGCAACGAGTAGCATGATATGGTGTTTCGGTTATGTCAGACTTGCAAGCGTGTAGAAAGCCTTAAAGGCATATTTTGCACAACTGTATGCTGAGTGCGAATAATTTTGCGTGCATTGAAAAACGTTGTTCGACCGTGTGAAGAACAACACCTAATTTAAGTAGATATTTAGAGGCGTAAAAAAATTCAGAAAACTACAAGCACGTTTCGTTTGTAGCGTTCGAAACGCAGTACCACGGCCATCCGCTATATCGAGCCCGAAATGGTATCTTTGCAACAAAAAAGTGAATAATTCATTTTACGGGTACGTGAGCAGCATGAAAACAAGTGAACGGATATTTCGCAATCCCATGATATGCAGGAAATCCTTGTATGTGACAAAACGTGCGCGATGTAACCTTCGCTGCAAAAACAACAAGCATGTGTCCGAAGGTGCAAGCCACTTCAATGAAAAAAAAAATTACCCCCCTCGCAATTTTAACTATCTCGTAGTGATTCCGTATGCTTTTAAATCATGTTACATAGCACTCCAAAGTATTACGCAGCAATTTATAAGAAAATGGCACCAGAGTGCAAGGTGTAACACGCTATAAACGCCGGCACTGGCAAGGGTCCCACATGGCATCACGAGGCCTCGAACCGGAAATTGGTGCAGACGGCTGCCGTAGCCCACAATCCATTGCGTTAGCCACAATTTTGCTATCTCTAATTTACCGGCCAGGCATGCCAGGCTACCGCCGAGGTGAAAATGTTTTCAGGCTCGTGCACATAGATTTACGTTCGCGACAAACAACTCTAGGTGGTCGAAATTTCCAGAGCCCTTTACTACGGCATCTCTCAAAATTATATCCTGCTTTTCGGCGTAAGACCTCAGATAGTATAACTAACGCCACCCGTGGCAGAATCATCGTCACTGCCACCACCTAACAAGCAGACAACGTACACAAGAAAGTGATTGTTCACAGGGTCCTATAGGAAGAGACCTTCATACCAGCGGAAGTGTCACCAGTGCTATTCCTTAAGTGAACAGCATAGCGGCTGTCGTAGGATCGTTTAAGAAGAGGCAAAGTATATTTACGCCTAGCTGTTGTAAACATTGCATGTCAATAGGCTATACTTGAGTCGTTGCCCTACTATTGACGCACGTGTTAGCACAGTGCTATTCCTTAAGTGAACAGTATAGCGGCTGTCGTAGTGTCGTTTAAGAAGGGGCAAAGTATATTTACGCCTAGCTGTTGTAAACATTGCATGTCCATGGGTCGTTGCCCTACTATTGACGCATGTGTTAGCACAGTGCTATTCCTTAGGTGAACAGTATAGTGGCTGTCGTAGTGTCGTTTAAGAAGGGGCAAAGTATATTTACGCCAAGCTGTTGTAAACATTGCATGTCCATGGGCTATACTTGAGTCATTGACCTACTATTGACGCATGTGTTAGCACAGTGCTATTCCTTAAGTGAACAGTATAGCGGCTGTCGTAGTGTCGTTTAAGAAGGGGCAAAGTATATTTACGCCTAGCTGTCGTAAACATTGCATGTCAATGGGCTATACTTGAGTCGTTGCCCTACTATTGACGCATGTGTTAGTCGTGTACCTTCGTCCATTCTCAAACTGATACCTCAGGAGAGAATTCTATAGGTAGCAATGGCGTAAAGTTGTGTTTTCTTTCCATTCATCCGTGAATTTCACTTTCCTCGCAGCTCCTTGGCCAAGCAGCTTCGTGAAGGCATCAGCGAAGTTCTGAGGGCGTGGAAGGAATACCAAGCTCGCCAACTGAACCGCAGCGACTCCAGCGATACTAGCAGCGACAAGACGGAACCATTCGCACCTCACCAAAGTCCCGTCGCGTGCAGCGTCTGTCACGACTGGTGCGTGGCAGGCTACGCGGCGCTCAAGGAAGTCGCACTCAGGGATGGCAGTGACAGACGTGCCGAGTAGCCCCGGCTACTTCTTCGGCTACCGCATCGAGCCCATTATTCGCTTCAAGACGCATGGCAATAGCCTCAGGATGCACTTCGGTTTGCAGGTGAGTGCCGCTGCAATCAGTGAAGGCCTTCAGTCTGGACTACATAGCCGACATACAAGCACATATCAAGAGGCACTGTACATGTTAAAGGAGTACAGATTTGTTGGTGTAGTTTGTTATGAACAAGCTCCACCATGGTAGTTCATTGGTTAAAATACTCGGCAGCCGACACGCAGGTTGTGGGATCGAATCACGGCTGCGGCGGCTGCATTTTCGATGGAGGCGAAAATGTTGCAGGCCCTTGTGCTCAGATTCGGGTGCACGTTAAAGCACCCCAAATGCTCTAAATTCCCTCAGCCCTCCACTCCCATAATCACATGGTGGTTTCAGGACGTTAAACACCACAAATCAATCGTTATGAACAATATTGCGTTAATAGCGCAGAAGGAATGAGGAAAACAACGAATACATTGGCCTTAAACTATGGTTGAAATCTATAGTGCCTCTGCTTGTTCAGCTTCATGTTCCAGTCCCTTCATTGCTTCAGTTTGAATATTAACCTATTGAAGAAATGAATAGCATATCAGTTCATCATACCCAGCTCCACGCTGGTGTGAAAAAAATATATATTTTTGGTAATTTCGACGCTCGTGTTCAGCCGCTGTTTAAAGGAAGACCTTTACAGCATTGCACAGACGTTCCAAGTTTTGAAGTGCAGGAGCATTTGGTCATTCACGAAATTAATTACCTAATAAAATAATGATGAATCACAATCACTTGTCGAGAAAGCTGCTTACGGCACTCACCTTTTTCACCTGTGCCCGATTTATTTCATATTCCGGAAGCTTGAGTTTTTTTCGAACGCTTGCGTCTGTAAAGACAATCTGCAATGTCCATGCCGCCATTCTGCCCCTGCCGACTGCGTTCTTTAGTCCGTGACGTAAGTTCTATAACTCTGAGGGTAACCAGGGATCACGCCATGCTATCGTACCCTTACTTAACCGTAACAATACGACAGGTTAGTGTAACCTCATGATAATCATCTGTTTGATGTTGTATATTTAGCCTTTGTTTACGGACCTGCACGTCTTTCTTTAAATTTCTGTTTATCTCGCATCTAAAAATGCTTTTTTTTTCACAAGTATTACCCTACTCTTTCTTTATTGTATTTGAAGGCGAATATCTACTTTCACAAGTACCAGACTCTAAAAATGACCTTTCGCGCGCTCGTCTGTTCTGATTCATTATTCCTGATTAGTTCACTTTAGTCCTGATGAAAAATTACTCAAAGAAACAGTCGCGTTGCTTTTCCCGAATGCACAACTTCATTATTCGGAGATTTAGATATCAGTCAGTGCGTGCTACATACACAGCCTTGACATATACAGCACCGTTTTATGGGTACCTATATGAGTGGTGACGTCATATCCCTCGGGGCTTGCACGCGTATCACACAGTGTGCGCAGGTCACCACACTCCATCATCTCCTCCCCAAAGCTCCATCTCTCTATGGGTCGTTTCCTAAACCTAATGTCAAGCGTTAAGCAGAGAGGCCCACATAAATAACTCCCAAGCATTTCCCCGATGGTGAACATGGTTAAGTGCGAATACACGGGGTGATGCTTTGAGGGGTATTTAATAATTCGCACTATTATATTTATTAATCACACTATGGTGCCTTTATGGTGTAATGGTTCCAGGGAATCGCAATTTGATCACACGGGGGAGTTTACGTTAACTCACTGGCGAATGCCAACGGATTTTAACTTTACTCCCCCTCACGACCCGCTCTCGACGGGAGACTGAGAGAGAAGGCGGGCGCGCGAGAGAGACGGGTGCGCGCGCAGCTGCAGCGAGCGAGGAGAGCGGAGGAGCGAGCGAAGGGGGAGGGGGTATAAGGCGTGTTACTGACACCGATATCAGCGTCGCGTCCGTGGCTTAAGTGCCAACCACTGGCACGCGTATGCGCGCGCCTACGCGTCAAAAGCGTCTAGTCGCGCCTGTGGAGGAAAAGGGTGCGCAACTACTGGCAGGCGTCGACCGCGTTGACGCCCACGCGTCCAAGGCCAATGCGCAATGTTGCTTGATCTTTTGGCTTAGAACTGTCCAAGTTCAGCACAGAACGGCACGTTCTCAACTGGAGTGGGAATGTATGTTTTAGAGGATATGAGAACACGTTAACAAGTTGATAGTGCTTCAACCACCACAGTTTAGACTATTTTAGAAGTAATTGACATTTCAGTGCCCAAAGTAACTACAGCGGTATGAACCAGAAATCAACATCGGCGCGTGCGCCGCTCCCGCGAATGAACATTCGCGTCTAGCATACTGTACGTTTATCATAGGCGTGTGCAGGGTTCTCCTTAAGGATGGGGGGGGAGGCAAAAGTTTGTCCCAGTGCCCCTCCCCAGGGCTGACTTAGCACCCCCCCCCCCTATTATGTTAATATATGGAGTTGACATTGAGCTCTCCCCCCCTCCTCTCTGCGGTGAATGAGGCGTGGCTGCCCTCCTGATCAGGTTTACAAACCACCGGGTTTCTATACCTGCACTACCAAAGTTACTAACAATATCTTGCATATGCTGGTACTTTCAGTATACTTACACAACATATTTTATATCAGTCGAGTTATACTCACGCCTGCAACTTCATGATCTGACAGATTTAAGTCAGTCATAAGACTACAATTGAGGTCAGAGTAGCAGGCTTTCGGTTGATGTGTGTGTTCGAAATATCCTCTAATGCAACAAAGCACACCTGGTTCTTATTGATACAACTGATATTGGCCATGAGATAGGAACCAAATACTGCGTAGAATGCCTTCGGGCATTTTCCATAGTCGAAATGTGCTCTAATGCAACTAACTGTGCCTGACACTTCATGATGTGACAGATATCGGTCATAATATTGCAACTGACCCCTGTATGGAAGACTTCTGGGCATTGTCTTTAGTCAAAGTATTCTCTGAAACTACAAATGACACCCAACTGTTCATGAAGTCACAGATATTGGTCATAATATTGGGACTGAAACCTTAATGCAAGACTTCTTGACATTGTCTTTAGTCAAAGTATTCTCTAAAACGACACTCAATCGTTCGTGAAGTCACATATATCGGTCATAATATTAGAAGTGAAACCTTAATGCAAGCCTTCTGGACGTTGTCTTTAGTCAAACTATTCTCTAAAACGACAGACGATACCTACCTGTTCATGAAGTCACAGATATCGGTCATAATATTAGAACTGAAACCTTAATGCAAGACTTCTGGACGTTGTCTTCAGTCAAAGTATTCTCTAAAACGACAGACGACACCCAACTGTTCATAAAGTCACAGATATCGGTCATAATATTAGAACTGAATCCTTAGTTGAAGACTTCTGGACGTTGTCTTAAGTCAAAGTTTTCTCTAAAACGACAGATGACACCCAACTGTTCATGAAGTCACAGATATCGGTCATAATATTGGAACTGAATCCTTAATGAAAGACTTCTGGATGTTGTCTTCAATCAAAGTATTCTCTAAAACGACAGACGACACCCAACTGTTCATGAAGTCACAGATATCGGTCATAATATTGCAACTGAACCCTGTATGGAAGACTTCTGGACGTTGTCTTAAGTCAAAGTTTTCTCTAAAACGACAGATGACACCCAACTGTTTATGAAGTCGCAGATATCGGTCATAATATTGGAACTGAATCCTTAATGGAAGGCAGCCAAAATGTTCTCCAATGCAATAAAACACACCCAACACATCATGATGCAACAGATATTAGTGACCAGATTGGAACCGAGCACAGCGTGGAACACTTTCGGTTGGTATATTTATTTATTTTCAAATACGGCTGCTCACTGTGAGGCTACTGCAAAAGTGGCGTACATTTATACAAAATGAAAAGATTGAAACAGTAATATCACATTAAGTGTGCCAAGGTAAACAAATATCACTACCCTTGAGTGCACCCCTGTAATAAATGAGAGAAATAGGACATTATTATAATACAAGTGCCTCCAAAAAGTCAGACACACTGGTATTAGGAATCAAACCAAGTAGATCAATCCAGTGTTTGATAACTTTATTTGAACGTGTTAGAGAGCTCTACAAATGACTTCTAAGCTGGGTGGTGATTGCGGATCAATGCTGTGTTGAAGACTTCTGCACTTTGCTGGTAGTTTAAATATGCTTTAACATCTACAAAATGCATCTGACACTTCTTGATGAGACAGACATTGGTTTTTTTTTTGAGATTACAGCCAAGCACTGTGGCTTTCACATGTCATCAATTGTCAAAATACCTTATAATGCAATAAAGCATGCCAAAAGTTTTTGATGGGACAGATACCGATCAAAGGATTGCACCAGAGCACCGTACAGAAGTTTTGGCAAGTTTTCCAACAGAACTAAACTGAATATGCTTAAGTGCATGCGTATATATAATCCAAGTTAATGCATATAATAAAAAACTGAACAGAAATGAAGGACTCCTTGGAAACACATACAAATATTCAATGTTCGGAACCATCGAATGTCTTCAGCTGATTACAGTCTGGAGGAAGAGATAAATACATGCACAGCTCTGAAAGGTCTCATGAGTCACATGAGGTACTTTTTGCATTTCTTCTACACAAAGTGCAGTACCATACTAGTGCACCTTCATTCATTCTTTGCATACATGAGGTGATCTTCTCTTCCAACAATCGTGTCATCATGCAGCTGATTTCAAATTAGGTGCTTCTCACAAGGTTTTCAGTTATCTGTCCAGCTGTAAACAGAACACGCGTTATGTTATAGTAAACTGTAAAACGACGGAGAAGCGCCATTGTATGCCTATAGCTATGAGTATCAGAATGAACTATAAATTAAGAATGTGTGTGTTAGAATGCCTCCAAACAACGTATGTGCTACTGAGCGTGGCAGAGAAGCAGAAGAAGCGAGAAGTGAAATAGCAGGCAATACCAGCAGCACTTAATCATGCAACTTTCTTTTTCGATCACCACAGCAACGCACGCTCGAGTTTGTCTTGTACGTGAATGGAAATGAGACCGCTGACAGCTCA